CCCTCCCAGCTCCCGGCCATGCTGAGCACTCGGGACCAGAGGCCCTGGCTGCTCTTCCTGCTGCACAACGTGGGCCTGCTGGGCGGCTGGGCCATCCTGCTGCTGCTGTCGCTGTACGAGGACCACATCGCCCTCTGACGCCTCCTCCCCACTCTCCAGCCTGGAGCCTGGCTCCTGGCCCTGCGCCGCCTCCGCCCCTGGACCTACAGCCGCGGACCTGGAGAGCCCAGGCCTCTGAGAACCCCGCTTCCCCATCCCCCGGCAGCCTGGTTTCCAGACATTCCTGGGCCGGCCGGCGTGGCTCCGTGGTTGATCCTGGGCTGTGAACCAGGAGGTCACCGTTTGATTCCCAGTCAGTCACATGCCCGGGTTGTGGGCTCCATCCCGCGTGGGGCGAGCAGGAGGCAGCCGATCCATGATTCTCAATCATCATTGCTGTGTCTGCCTCCCTTTCCCTTCCTCTCTGAAATCAATAAAAATATATTTTAAAAAAAGACATTCCTGCCTTTGTTGTCCAACCTGCTCTTCTGGGGAGGGAAGGGTCCCCAACAAGAAAGGCCCATGAGGGGAGCAGTGCCAGGGTCTCTGGTGAGCAGTCCACAGAGCTATGCTCAGGGATTTCCAGGCAGCCAGCCAGCACCCCAGCCTCCAGTCCTCCCTTCGCTTCCAGGCGACTTGCTCATGGAGGAGGGGAATCCTCCGCGTGGGTTGGAGCTGCACCCCACCTACCGCTGCTCCCCCTCCCACGCTGCTCCTTCAGGGTCCGTCTCTCTGAGCACCGACCACCTCTCTCCCACGGATGAGTTCTTGTTCCCTTGTTGGGGCACTTGCCCGGCCAGTCCGACCGGCCTGTGGGCCCAGACTTACTGGGTTATCACTGGTCCCTGTGATGTGGGCACCAGGCTGTCCGTGGGCTGTGGATGTGGGAGTTCGTGTTCTGCCTCAGCTCCTCAGCACGTCCCCACAGTCCCGGGTCCAGGACTTAGGACTATGGATGGGGTTTGATGTGGTTCCGGGGTCACCCACCCCCTGGGCACCCAGGGGACCCTCCTGCACAGCTGCCCTGTCCAGACGGGGAGCCTGGTTGCTGACGTGAGCACGTAGCCAACTTGCATGCAACACACATTTATGTCCCATGTTCCCGGGTGTGTCTGTTTTCTTTATTTCTTATGATTCCGTTTCTAAGGCCCAGGCCTATCCGAGCACCTGGGGCAACTCCCTACCAAGGGAGGAGAGGTCTGCTTAGCTGTGTGAGGTTTGGCTCCAGGCCCTCAAAGTGGACGATTGCGCCTGCCCGGGGCGGGAGCAAAGTCAGGGAAGACCGCTGTGCTGGGGGGAGCGCAGGGAGAAGGTGGGGGGACTTGGCCTTCAGCGCCCGGGTTCGGTGGTCACGGTGGGGAGGTTGCCCTGCGGGCGGGAACACAGCTGAGACGCCACGCGGGATGTGTCCGGAGGCTTTCCTAGCGCGGGCTGGTCGGGGCTCCCCCACACGGGAGGGCGGCATCTGCGGGCGCCCCTTCTCTGCTGGTCAACGCTACGAGGCTCGCCCCACTCACTCCTGCGCCAGCTCCGGGCTCGGCGCCTCGCACGGGGGCTCG